CATTACATGGCCACGGGTGCTGGTGAGTCGGTTTGCTAAATATAAAATACCATTATAAATGCGAGTTGACGGAGGCTTAGTTTACCCAGAATGTCATATCTGCACTGTGACGCACTGACATATATGGCCGTGGAGTGGAGTGGAATGGCAGTATCGTCACTACACTCACAATCCAGTATCGAATCCTGCTGCCGGTGCTGATCGATGCCGCAGTCCCCTCTGGATGAGATTACGTTTATGGAGGCAAGGATAAGTTAAGTAGTGAGAACGAGATCGAACCAACACTATCAAGCCAAAGGAGACTGCGACTAAACAGACCATTCCATCTTGGTCTTCATATATAAGAGTAAGCTGAATTTACTGGCATCGTGGGACGAACTCATCCCATTGTGGGAAAACTCAACAATCAGTTCCTAAATCACCTTAGGCGACCTAAGCTGACTAAGTTCTTATTCGAATATTACTGAAAGTCTTAAGAATTAAGTATATCAATAATACCTAGTAGGATGGAACTGCGTGAATTTTGCTGATAGAGCCAAGCTCAAATGATAGTTTAGCTCAGCTGTCGCCTTCTGATAGGTGGTTAGCGCTCTTATATATCCCTTGCCTCAGCACAATCATCATATTAAACAAAAGTCCCTTTGGGCTGATTAAAGTGATGCAAGGATAGATAATTGAGATTACCACGATTTAATACATAGAAGGCTTCATGACGCCATTAAATGACGCATATCCATGCCTCCCAAAAGGATTTTTCGAGGCTTACTTGTAGTCTTGGCCACTCAAAGGTCTAATCAGTACCCTTAGCAGGATTGGTAAAAGAATCATGCAAGTCAGGCTCTATAGTGATAGGGTTTTCCAGTCCGCTTAAACGACAGCAAAAGTTAACGTAAAGAAATACAAACGCTAGTATTAGGATAGAGTATGGCAATACGAACAGTTAGAATGGGGTGTTAGCTCTAGAAGCCCTCGAAAAAAAGCATAAGGACTCTGTTTATCACAGAATATAGCCATAAAAACACATAATAATGTATGGATTGGGCTTCTTGATGTAGATATTCGAAGTTTCAATACTAATTCGATTTCAACGCAATCCCAGGACCGCGTAAATATGTACAGGTTCTGGTTAGTTGGGTTATTAATGAAAAAAACTTTTCTTTTGGTGTTATTCGAACTGATATACACGTCTATAACATAGATCGACATGTTTATAAAAAAAGGAGTCAACTGCACTCTCATGCTTTAACAAAACAGAAGCAGTCCTGACAATGTTTCGCAAGTTTATTTTTTAGTATTTTAGGTATGGAGCAGTCGATATACATATATATAGAGAGAGCAAATGCTATATATAAGCCCTAATTTTACGTTTAACCAAATAGTATATATATATATATATATACGACCAGATTGAAAAAAAATAAAACCAAGTCTATAATAGCTTTTAGTGGGAAAATCGCCACATTATCTGAAGCGATACGGTTGGGTGAACTTATTTAACATCGCCCATACGGCACTGGCTTTACCGAAAGCATCCTCATGCCAAATAAATGTGATGATTCGAGTCGGTCTCATCTTAATTAATTATAATAAACATTCAATGGGGATTTAAAAACATAAACAAACTCTAACCACTGGAAAAATTCCTGAGGTAAGTTAACAGCGAAATGAAGGTCAGTTCTTGAAATATGCTTACTTGGCTTGGGTCGGATCATCGCGAGTAACCAGAGAGGTAGACGAAAGATTAGATACGATGTCAACAGCAAGTGGGAATGAGTTGTTACTATTTGATGAAGACAGTCTCTGCTTACATAAATCGATAGTCCTTTCTCTGATAGGGTATTTAGGCTCGAACGTAGGTCCTAGAGCTTTGCAAGTTTCAGCAACGTTGTCGAATAGAGAGTCATCTGGGTAAATACTAACTAAGGGAGAAGAGATAAGATCCCGTGCCTCGGTTGAGCTTTTTAATGCTGAGGTAAGAGAGGGTACCTGGAGGAGACACTGCTCAGATACATCAGCAATAACCCCCAAATGAACGTTTGAGTTGCTCTCAATCGAGGAATGTTTTCTGTCTAAGGAAGCAGCTTGTGGAATTTGATGTTGTAGGTGCCGAGTAAGAATCTCTGATGGCTGCCGCTGAACATATTTATTATGAAGACTACCTTTGCATGAGGGAGGAGATTCAGCGATAGGGGAGGATGAGGTAGCAATCTGCATGGAAGTGGATTCGACTCCCGATTCTCCATGGAGAATGGCGGTCCCAAAATATGAAGGTCTAACTGCAGCATGTTGATCTACACAAAATAGGGAAAGCAAGACTATGTAGCAGTTTGTAAGGATATTAGTGAACAACTTATACTACAATAGTATTCCTAAATCTTAAAAAAGCCTATGGTTTTGAGGCAATATTGAATAGGCCTGTCGCATGAGATCTAATCGTTATACTACGATCGAGTCAACAAGCTTGAAGCAGTAGAGTGGAAGTTAATCTCAACAATATAACACAATCATTAGGTATAAAGTCTGTGACGAGTTTTAGTGTGGTGCTAAGAATGGCAAGGCACTAGACGATGCCGGCGAAATGCCTGAGAATGTAGCAAGTCCACAGTCTGACGCTGGAAATTATTATTGATATTATAGTAAAGGACTTCGGATGAGGTGTATTCAACTAAGTCTCTCTGGAAATGAGAACATGTTAAGGAAAAAGTGAAACCACGTCTATAATATCTTTTAGTGAAAAAAGCGCCACATTATTTGAAGTGATATGGTTGGGTGAAATTATTCACCAGGTTTTTGTCTCTAAACGAAAAGTCTAAAGGGAAAAATACCTAAACCGAAATTTGCGAAACTATCTCGAGCATAGTAATATCACCAGTGAGGTCTTAGATGACCGGATAAAATATTAGTTAATCAGTAATGTTAAATAAATAT